ACAAATAAATATATACATAATAACAACAATAATAATACATAATAATGCTTAATAATATATACTCTGTCTATATAATCTAGCAATAACAAACATTTGAATGCTATTAAACAATTGTATACTTTTCCTAATGAGCTTATACAAAAGATAATTGAAGTATACAATTTTAAGATTTATATATATATATATATATATATATATATATATATATATATATATATATATATATATATATATATATATATATATATATATATATATATATATATATATATATATATATATATATATATATATAGAGAGAGAGATCGAGCGCGCGCGCGCGCGCGCGCGTGTGTGTGTGTACATACACAAAATCAATAAATAAATATATATATATATATATATATATATATATATATATATATATATATATATATATATATATATATATATATATATATATATATATATATATATACATACACAAATATACTAGCAATACATGTTTGGAAAATTGGAAGACATTTTATCAGATCTTTAATAGTCAAATTTTCAAAGATTTCACTCAGTCATACCTAAATTAAAAACAAACTATATAGATATAGTACACTACATTATAAATACTCTTAAATTACGGGAAATTAAATAAAAAATATAAAGTTTGTAAATATTAAATGACATTTTTACATTTTAAATGTGTGTGCAAATTTATTTTGAACATAAAACTAAATATGAAAATACAATCTAAAAGTAAATCCACTGTCAAATAAATTGTAGTATTTTAATAAAATTTTGCAATCATTAGATTTTAATTCATTGTTGATAAACAAAATTGTGAAAATTGGAGCATAAAATAACATAAAATACAATATACTTGACAGGTTTACATAAATATTCAAATCGTTTTTAAATCGAAAATAAAATTAAATCTAAAGTAAAATAAAGTAAAACATGAATGGCCAAAATGTCTTATATTTTAGTATACAGTATAGGAAGTTCTTGCCTATATGCAAAAATCATCTATTAATAAATTTTGAACACTCACATTTGGTCAGCAATGAAGCAAAATGTAATGATTGTAATGAACAGTAAAAGTTAACTTATTTTGTGTTTGATATTACATTAGTTTATTTTCAATATTTTAACCTTTAATACTTCATAAAAATACTATTGCATACAGTAAATGAAAACAATAATTTACGTGTGCTTTATTTTACTGTATATGTCAATTTTATATTGTATTTGAGTTTAAGATTTTACTTTTACTTTATTTTACAATATATAAAATTTTAAATCGTATTAGAATATAATATTTAACTTTTAAATGTTACTTCAAATAACCTATTATTTAACACATTTTAATCAGTTTTTGTCTGTTTTAATATGTTTTAAATGATTTTAATCATGTTTGTTTTATTCTTGTTTATCTAAAGTGCTTTGAATGATCACTGTGTATGAAATGTGCTCTGAACATAAACTTCCCTTGCCTTTATTTTACTGTAAATTACATTTTTAATTTTATTTGAATAAAACATTTTACCTTTAGTTTATTTTACTGTATATTTATTTATATTATATTTGAATATTACATCATACTTTCACTTTATTTTAGTGTATGTTTAATTCATATTGTATTGGCATTTAACATTTTACTCTATATTTCATTTTTAATTGTATATGAATATAAAAAAACTATATAATTTAAAAGCGTGAAAATGCACGGATTCGGTCAAATTAAATTGTATTTCATATTTTTTTAATGCAAAAATTTTGCATAATTGATTTGGATCGATTTCAGTTTCAGTTTTCTCTCTGCAAACACTTGATTATTTGTTGTCCTCTTGTTTCCTCATTGCAGTGTCCCTCTGACATCAGATGAGCAAGGTACAGTACAATCTCAAGTATTTCTCAAAGTAGTGTTTGTGACGGTGAACTCCTGGAGGTTTTCCTTTCAGAACAGATGCTCTCAAAATCCCCACATACATGTGATGCATCACAGCTCCTGGGAAGCCGCATGATTGTTGTTCATACATACTGCGTCATGTATTGATAAAAACACTCTGCTTTTACAGCTCTGCTGTCGGCGGCTGCGAAAGGGGACTTGACTGCGGTAAGCTTTACTTTGACAAGTAAACAGAAAGTAAGAAGTCATGACTCACCAGGGTGTGTTTGATACCACATCCACATAATGCAGCGGACTTTCGCAACCGGTGTTTGAGTGTGTGTGTGTGTGTGTGTGTTTTATGATTAATCCCTGAACTTTCTGTTACTTTATTAGACATGAAAATGTCACGACCCTTTAGTGCACAGATCTAAACTCAACCTCATTTTTAAAGAAGATAATTGTGAAAAAAGTCAATGGTTAAATTAGTAAAAGCTTATGCGAGTTTGAGTTTTAAGTTAAGGATATATTTATTAAAATAATATTTTTGTCACTGAACATATTCACATTTTAATATAAGTTAAATATTGCAAAAGCATATATATGCATACATATACATATGTACAGTAAAGTAATAGTGTTTGATTGTGATTGGAATAATAATGTACAGTAAGTGTTGACGGTGTGTGTGCTGTGTGTGTGTCAGGTGTCATCGTCCTGCAGGAGTGGGCTTAGTCTGCTGGTGCGGGACGCTATGGGCTGCACCGCTCTGCATTTGGCTGCACATCACGGACACGCAGACGTGGTGAGCTTCATTCTGGAGCATGGTGAGTGTTTGGTCTGAAATGCACACACTCTGGGCCCTGTCATACACCCGGCGCGATGTGGCGCAAGGCGAGACGCAATTGTTTGCTAGTTACAGCTCAGCGCAAGAGTTGTTTTGATGTTTTGCGCCACGCTGTTTAAATAGCAAATGCATTTGCGCTCATATGTGCGTCCCATAGGCGTTCTGGTCTAAAAAAGGAGGTGTGTTGAGGCGCATTGCTGGCGTGTTGCTATTTTAAGGAACTAAAATAGACTGTTCTAGAGACCAGATCAAAGCTGGTCTATTGTCCAGTGCAGAGCACGTTAGTTGTGCGCCTCGCTTACACATTGCTTAATACACACAGGAAGATGTAGAGCAATACGCAAATGTCTTTACATATGAAAAAAATTAAATATTCAGGATATAATAAGAATATATATAGGATATAAATATAAAAGATTAAAATATTACAAAAAATATTATTTTCTAGCCTACATAAATATAAAAACCACTGCCTTTATGTCTTCTTCATCTCGGGAGGCTTTTTCAGTTCATTCATAACAATTTGCTTTTGTATAATGTTATTATTATTAGCAGTATTATTTATTATATCCATATTTATATTTGTTTTATTAAAAACAAGCTTAGATTTGCCCACCTGTCAGGTTTTAGACCATATGGGGCAAAGCATGTGTATTAGGATATAACTCAGGTTTTTAAGCACACTTTGTTATTATTGTTCATTTATTCATTTGCTGGAAATTAGAACTGAATTTAGAAATAGTTTTGAAACAAATCTTTGCGCTTAACAAATGAAATTAATTATTTATAGGCTAATCGATGCCTGTGCGTACAACAAGTTTCCCTATCCACGAGAGCGAAAGTGAAAGTAAATAATGAGGAGGCTCATCTCTCATTCTCGCGCTGTAGATGCTCTGTTTAACTGTTTTCTCTCTAGTGAACTGTTCAGGTTTTCCACATACAAAGTCTGTATTGTAAATAGCAAATGCACCATGGCGCAATGCAAGTGACTCTTAAAGGGAAATGGGAGATGAGACTCTGATTGGTTTATTCTCAAAACACATCTATAACTTAAGAAAACAAGCTCAACCCTGTTAGACCATGCGCCATGGCGCATAGGGGATTTTTGTCCCAAAAATAGCAAAAGTGGATTCTGATACGCCCTTAATGCGTTTGCGTCCTGCGCTTCGGACTTTTCACATGGATCGTCAGAAATAGAGTCCTCTGTGTTTGCATATACATTGTCACATGCTCAACTGTGAGCAGAGAAACTTTTTTGTTTGCCCACAACCAAAGGAAAACCAACAAGTACAGGACGTTACTGAAAGACTAAATGCTGGGTATTTCTAACATATGCCAATGACTTTAAGGGTGTTTGGATAACTTAATTGATGAAGTGTTGAAATGAAGAGTAAGACTTTATAAGACAAATAAGACTTTCTCCAGAAGACAAAATATTATAGAAAATGCTGTGAACATTTCCTTGAATAACTTTGACTTTAACTGTACATGTTTGCTTATGTACAAAATTCTAGATCCATGCGAACTTAAATGCTATATATATTGTGTTTGCTTTCAGGGTCAAAGCTGATGTTGGATTTAACAGAGCGAGACACGTATGTAAATCTCTGCTCGCTGTGTTTGTTTGCAGTCTCGTAATGTGAACATGCATATCATTCTTCCTCATTTGTCTTGTTTTCAGAGGTGACACAGCATTGCACAAAGCGGCGGCACAACAACAGCGTGATGTTTGCAAACGTCTGCTTGAAGCCGGAGCTTCCCCCCACAAAACCAACTTCCTGGTCAGAATCAGTTTTTTTTTTCTCATTATTACTGTTAACCACAACTTTGACACCACAACACACATTCGAAAAACAGCTTGAGGACATCTTTATTGTTTGATTTGTTCATACACTTAAGTATATCGGTAAGTTTTTGAATTTGACTGTGGTGTTTTTATTTTGGGAAATTTCCAAATCATAAAACTGTACATTTTATTCCTCTGCATTTGATAAAAACATCCTCATTCCTTGTTTTGAAGCCACAATAGCAGTGTATGGGGGATCTATAATGCAAAAATTGTTTTTATAAGAGGTTTAAACACAGATGTGAGGCAGCAGTGTGTGAATATAACCAGCTTCTAATGGTAAAAGTGTAATAATTACATTTTTTATAATCACACTTGATAAAAACAAGGACTTGAGTGGTAATAGCTTTCATTTTCAGCATGACAATGATCCTCTAATTGCTGTGAAATCCTATGTGGAGAAAAGAAAACAGCTGATTAAACACAGACAGACATGAAATGGCCTCCCCAGTGTCCAGACCTGAATATTATAAAGGCTGTATGAGATCACCTGGACAGAAAAAAGAAAGATATGACTCTCTAAACCTAAAGAAGAACTCTGGAAAGTGCTAAAAGAAGCACATTATTTTAGGAAATGTCAGGACAATTAGAACAAAACAGCCAAGGGAAGTGAATGTTGAAAAGTACTGATCCATTATTATACAGCTTTAATCTATTATGTCCATTCCTTCTGGAAAGAACTTCAATGGTATTAGTTTTCATTTTCAGCATGATTCTGATTCACTAAATGCAGTAAAATCCTATTTGGAGAAAGTAAACAGCTCACAAAACGCAGACAGTCATAAAATGGCCTACCCAGTGTCCAGACCTGAATATTATAGAGGCTGTATGAGATCAGCTGAACAAAAAAGAAAGATAAAACCCTCTAAACCCAAAGAACAAACTTGAATAGTGCTAAAAGAAGAACATTATTTCAGAAAATGTCAGGACAATTACTTGTTGTACAAAACAGCCAAGGAAAGTGAATGTTGAAAAGTACTGATCCATTATTATACAGCTTTAATCCATCATGCCCATCCTTCTGGAAAGAACTTCAGTGGTAATAGTTTTTATTTTCAGCATGATAAGGATTCGCTAATTACAGTGAAATCCAGTTTGGAGAAAGAAAACACAGACAGATGAAACAGAGACAGTCATGAAATGGCCTCACCAGTGTCCAGACCTGAATATTATAGAGGCTGTATGAGATCAGCTGGACAAAAAAGAAAGATAAAACCCTCTAAACCCAAAGAACAAACTTGAAAAGTGCTAAAAGAAGAACATTATTTCAGAAAATGTCAGGACAATTACTTGTAGAACAAAATAGCCTATGGAAGTGAATGTTGAAGCGTACTGATCCATTATTATAAAGTTTTAATCCATTATGCCCATCCTTATGGAAAGAACTTCAGTGTGTAAAAGTTTTAATTTTATCATAGTAATGATCCGCTAATTGCAACGAAATCCTATTTAGAGAAAGAAAACAGCTGATGAAACACAGACGGTCATGAAATGGCCTCCACAGTGTCCAGACCTGAATATTATAGAGGCTGTATGAGACCGCCTGGACAAAAAAAAGAAAGATAAGACACTCTAAACCTAAAGAAGAACTGTGGAGAGTGCTAAAAGAAGCACATTGTTTTAGGAAATGTCAGGACAATTACTTGTAGAACAAAACAAGCAAAGGGAAGTGAATGTTGAAAAGTACTGATCCATTATTATACAGCTTTAATCTATTATGCCCATCCTTCTGGAAAGAACTTCAGTGGTATTAGTTTTCATTTTCATCATGATTCTGATTTACTAAATGCAGTAAAATCCTATTTGGAGAAAGTAAACAGCTCACAAAACACAAACAGTCATGAAATGGCCTCGCCAGTGTCCAGACCTAAATATTATAGAAGCTGTATGAGATCAGCTGGATAAAAAAGAAAGATAAAACCCTCTAAACCTAAAGAACAAACTTGAATAGTGCTAAAAGAAGCACATTATTTCAGAAAATGTCAGGACAATTACTTGTAGAACAAAATAGCCTATGGAAGTGAATGTTGAAGCGTACTGATCCATTATTATAAAGTTTTAATCCATTATGCCCATCCTTATGGAAAGGACTTCAGTGGTAAAAGTTTTCATTTTCAACATGATAATGATTCACTAATTGCACTGAAATTTTATGTAGATAAACAAAACTGCTGATGAAACACTGACAGTCATGAAATGGCCTCCCCAGTGTCCAGATCTGAATATTATAAAGGCAGTATGAGATCAGCTGGACAGAAAAAAGAAAGATAAGACACTCTAAAGAAGAACTGTGGAGAGTGCTAAAAGAAGCACATTATCTCAGAAAATGTCAGGACAATTACTTGTTGTACAAAACAGCCAAGGGAAGTGAATGTTGAAAAGTACTGATCCATTATTATACAGCTTTAATCCATCATGTCCATCCTTCTGGAAAGAACTTCAGTGGTAAAAGCTTTTATTTTCAGCATGAAAAGCATTCGCTTATTACAGTGAAATCCAATTTGGAGAAAGAAAACACAGACAGATGAAACAGAGACAGTAATGAAATGGCCTCCACAGTGTCCAGAACCAAATATTATAGAGTAGGGGTGTCAAACTCAATTCCTGCAGGGCCAAAGCCCTGCACAGTTTAGTTCCAACCCTGCTCCAACACACTTACCTGTAGGTTTCAAACAAGCCTGAAGGACTCAATTAGTTTGATCAGGTGTGTTTAATTAGGGTTGGAACTAAACTGTGCAGAGCTGCGGCCCTTTTGGAACTGAGTTTGACACCTGTGTTAGAGAGGCTGTATGAGATCATCTGGACAGAAAAAAGAAAGATATGACTCTCTAAACCTAAAGAAGAACTGTGGAAAGTGCCTGAAATATTACACAGCACATTATTTTAGAAAATCCAAGGGTAGCCACATTAAACAGACTTGTTCTTGAAGAGGAAATGCTGTGCTGGTGTGGTTTTGTACATATTTCATATATTTTCTGTCTGTTTTTTAATAAAGAGACTGATTGATTATATATTGTGGAAAAGTCCTAGGCCAACATAGCTGTTACAGTATTACTTTTTTCCCCAACACTGCCATTGAATGACACATTTTTTTTATGCGTTTTAGGGGAAAACACCTAAGGATTGTGCCCTGGATGCCGGGAATTTAGAGTTGGCGTCCATGCTGGAGATCCAGGCGGTGGATGAACCAGCATCACACGAGGATCTGGAGACGGCAGTATGAACGGCTCACCCCATGACGTGGCAGGAAGAATTTTTACCCACAGAAAGTGGCTGTTAGCACTCCTCGAGCGTCTGCTTGCACTCGCAGAGAAGCCGACGATAGCAGACAAGAGAAGTGCAACGAGATTGCCTCGGGCTCAGAAAAAAAAACCTCACCGAGCAGGAACGTGTCTAGCTGTTGTTTTTCGACTCATGTCGCTGTGGGGTTTTTTTAATCGTAGGGTCTGACCTAGCATTTATTTATTGCTCTTATTTATTATAGCTATTTATTCAAAGGCGGATTGCTGCATTGCGTGTAGAGAGACGTTGCCAGAAAAAAGCACGTCACATTCGTGTGCCAAAGACGCACAGGAGAAAGAGGCTCGGAGATTTTGAAAACCAGACATATTTACAGCTCTTTCCGATTCGTTCGTGTGCCGTTACAGTGGCGTGATTGTGAAATTATCTTATAAAAGATCTGAGCCATATTCGATGCAATATGAATGGATGACATTTGTGCATTTATCTATTTAATATTACATTACATTAATGTTTTCAAGACAAGCAAAGGAGCTGGATTTGTGTGTGGGGGGTTTAATTTTTCATTGACGGTAGCTTTGAGTAAAGGAGAAAGACACCGACGGGAGTATTTCCAACACTTGCTCCATCCTAAACCATGTCCAAGTCACTCATGCAACGTGTCTGCATGAAAACAAACCCAGATCCATTTACACACGAGTGATCTGCTGTGGTATCTTGTATTATCAGTTAACGCATTTATTGTGCATGGGATTTTTGTTACCTCTTTGGATGTTTCTACCCTTTCAGTGGTTATGTAATGAAATGGCATTATTTCTTTTTTTATTAATATTAACATTATTATTATTATGATTTTAAGCTGTATGAAAATGTTCAGTGGTTGTATTTTGCTTTTTTTTAAAACCTTTTAAAAGATGGGACTACTTGAATGTTTTAGTTTTTCTAATTTCTCAATATCAACTTTAGGTGTGTTTGAGGTGACCGGGTGAGTAGATGTGGCTGATATCATGTTGCACGGTTGCCTAAACTGGGAATGTTTTCTCATTAAAAGGGCAGTTGGATGGAAAGCACCAGTGTTTTGTGGATATTTTTTTTTAAAGCTGCTGTTACTGAAGCACTTGTGATTCACAATCACAACCCTGCAAGAATGCCTTCACTCTGAAAACGCTGGGTTTCTTCAATATTAGAAATTTGGGTAAAATATGGACAAACTGAACACTCACTCATTCATTCTCCTTCTGCTTAGTTCCTTTATTCATCAGGGAAAGAACCGCCAACACATCCAGCAAATGTTTAACACAGTGGATGCCCTTCCAGCTGCAACCCAGTACTGGGAAACATTCATACACCCTAATTCAAACACATACACTGCGAACATATTAGCTTATTCACATGTGTTTGGACTGTGGGGGAAACCGGAGTTCCTGGAGGAAACCTGGGGAGAACATGGAAACTCCATAGAGAAACGCCAACTGGTTCAGCCGGGACTCAAATAAATTCTTCTTCTTTATGCTGTGTGGCGACAGTGCTAACCACTGAGCCACTGTGTTGCCACAAACTCAACATTTTAGGTTTAATTTTACCCAAATTGAGTTGAAAAACCCAGCATTTTCATCGTTTTTCAGAAAAAGTGTTGTTTTTCAGAACAAATGTGTAATCAATTATTGGTTTGTTTTAAATCGTTTTTTTTTCTGGTCCCCACTAGCAGATATTTTCTTGTTTTAAGCATAAACCCTTGATTTTTATCAAGGATGAAACCTGCAAAAACAATAAATATGCAAATGTATAAATAAATGAGTAAATAAATCCATAAATTCCTGCACAAAAATTTTTTATAAATAATAAATATGCAAATAAATAAATGTACACAAATATCCAAAAATTCTTGCATAAATAAAATATTAAATATGCAATTAAATAAATGTACATAAAAATCCACAAATTCCTGCATAAATAAAATAATAAATAATAAATATGCATATAAATAAATGTACACAAAAATCCAAAAATTCCTGCATAAATAAAATAATAAATAATAAATATGCAATTAAATAAATGTACACAAAAATCCAAAAATTCCTGCATAAATAAAATAATAAATAATAAATATGCAATTAAATAAATGTACACAAAAATCCAAAAATTCCTGCATAAATAAAATAATAAATATGCAATTAAATAAATGTACATAAAAATCCACAAATTCCTGCATAAATAAAATAATAAATAATAAATATGCAATTAAATAAATGTACACAAAAATCCAAAAAATTCCTGCATAAATAAAATAATAAATATTAAATATGCAATTAAATAAATGTACACAAAAATCCAAAAATTCCTGCATAAATAAAATAATAAATATGCAATTAAATAAATGTACATAAAAATCCACAAATTCCTGCATAAATAAAATAATAAATAATAAATATGCAATTAAATAAATGTACACAAAAATCCAAAAATTCCTGCATAAATAAAATAATAAATATGCAATTAAATAAATGTACATAAAAATCCACAAATTCCTGCATAGATAAAATAATAAATAATAAATATGCAATTAAATAAATGTACACAAAAAATCCAAAAATTCCTGCATAAATAAAATAATAAATAATAAATATGCAATTAAATAAATGTACACAAAAATCCAAAAATTCCTGCATAAATAAAATAATAAATATGCAATTAAATAAATGAACATAAAAATCCACAAATTCCTGCATAAATGAATTAATAAATATGCAAATAAAAAATGCATTTAAAAATCCAGAAATTCCTGCATAAATAAAATAACAAACAATAAATATGCAAATAAATAAATGTATATAAAAATTTACATTTTCCTGCATAAATAAATATATAAATAATGAATAGTGCTGGCAGGTAAATAATTAAATAAATTACACAAATGTTGAAAAAACTGAAGGTTTATTTCCCCCCATTTCAAATGTTTATTCATTCATTCTCATTAGTATGTTGACCTGAGGAAAAGTAAATCCGGAATTACATTCAGGAAATTAATAAACATTTGAAAGGGGGGGAAATAAACTTTCAATTTAGCATTTTTTTTTACCCCAATATTCGTGCAAATTTATATACTTTTCCTTATTTATTTGTATATTATTTAAAGTTTTATGTATTTATTTTTTTGCATATTATTTAATGTTTTATGTATTTATTTGCATATTATTTAATGTTTTATTTGTTAGTGTATTTGCGTATTTATTTATTTATTTATTGTTTTTGCAGGTTTAGTCCTCAACAGATTTTGATTGTTTTTAAAAGTAAACCAAGATTAATTTAGCTTCTGGAGTTCGTGTATCTTGATTTAAGTTATGTGTTCTAGAAAACAGACGTAAGTTCAACGTAAATAAAACCCTTTTAATTTTGTAGGGAGATGACTTACATTTTTACTCCTTTGCTCTCTCTTTATGCAGAAACCAATCAAAACTTTTAAAATGTACATTAATTTTTCCATTTAAAGTCTCTTTTTATTCTTATTTCCACTTTAACTGTTCTGCTGAATCATTTAACTCGTCTATCCAAGTTAGCCTGTGACTAAAAAGTCTTGTGACTCTGCGTTGACGTCGGCCACGCCCACTTCCATTCAAACAAAACCAAAACCTTTGCCCTGCTTAACTTAGTTGTCATAAAGCGAGGAGACCAAGAGAAGCAGCAAGTCATGTAAGTATTTCCACTTTCCTATTTGTATTCTTCACTTTGAGAAAGTTAACAGTGCCTATAGCAGACTGCTGTACTGTTTGTAGTTGTTTTGATATGTTTGGTTTAAACTTCCGTGACTTCTTGTAAGTTACTCGTCAGTTTAAATGTTGAAATATGTCGAGAATGAGATACAATCACATCAAATCCTGATCAAATCACGTACAAGTGTTTTCTGTAGGACTAAAGCAACAGGGAAACGGAGTTTAATGGCGAGGGTTTATGGACATGCCCAGGCACAGTATCTACCATAGGCTATACATCAGCGATCGCTAGTTAATACTGTAATAAATAAAAATCATAATCTGAATTACTTTTGGATAAACTTTCCTGATTTTACTACTAAATACTTTCAATACAAGTACAGTGTTTATTTAAATTATTTAAATAAAATATTTTATTTAATTTCTTTAATGTGTATTTACTTACTTTAATTAAAAAAATACTATAGTGTTTAATCGTAAGTTTTATTGTGTTTCTGAGCAATATAATATACAATATTTACAGCTTTTTGTTAATGAATTCTACAGAATACTGTAGTATTAACATACTGTGAACTAATAAATAATTAATTATATAATTAATTATTAATAGTTTGTTATAACTAATAAAATTTTTTTGTATATTATAGCTTTTACTACAGTAAACTGTGGTGTATTGTAGTAAATATATCGTCTTGTTAAAATTAGTTTATTGGGTACTTTAATATTTAATATATGAAGAGTTCAGATGCAAAAACCTCTAGAAGCTGTTTAAAATTTCCTTTTAAAATGAGCATTTTCATAAGGCTCCTGTATGTAGGTTCAGTAATATCAAGTTTATGGCAAAGAATGCACTCTTTTAAAGGTCTTTAAAATTAAATAACAACATAAACATAGGAGTCTGAGAAAAAAAAGGCTTTTTTTTTCTATGAAAATTTCAGACGCACTTAGAGGTTTTTGCATCTGAACTCTTCATATAGTAGTCAATATTCGAAGTGAATCAAAAAAGTTACTCAAAATTGTTCAAAGACAAATAAATAAAGTATGTTTATTAGTTTTAGGACAGCTTTGACAAAAGGAGAAGATCCACTTTTAATGTTTTTGACTATAGCTGTTACCGCATTAACCACAGTTATCATGTATAACCACAGCCACTATATAATTACCACCCCACATATTAATTTAAGTACTTTACTATAGTTTTAAAATGTATTTACTGTAAATTACTATAGTATTTTTTTCTTGTGTGTGTGTGTGTGTGTGTGTGTGTTCAGTAGAATGCAGCTGAAAATGACTAAATGATTGTAATTTAAAAGTTTTATGCATATATTTTAATTTAATACACATCAAAATAAGTGTACCTAATGTGGAATAATATTTAATTACTGCATATTTTTACATTTTAGGTTGAGTGAAGTTATTTGAAATGATAAAGTAGACCTTTTACAGTTGAAATCACAATTATTACAAGCCTTTAAATGTCACTTTAAGCTGTATAGGAGTTTCTTGAGAAATATCTAGTCAAATATTATTCACTGTCATCATGGCAAAGATAAAATAAATCTGTAATTAGAGATGAGTTATTAAAAGTTATTAGTTTTAATGTGTACAAAATCTTTTCTCCAATAAACAGAACTTGGGGAGAAAACAGGGGGGCTAATAATTCAGGGTGTTTAATAATTCTGACTTCAACTGTTTATGCATTTAATTTTCTTTCTGTGTAAAGTTTTGTAAATTGACTATTTATACATTTAAAAGTTATTTTTAAATGCATTGTTTTCTTTATTAAATAATATTAAAAATCACAATTTCACATTCAAATATGTCTATTTATTAGTCAATTCAAAATAAATAGTGAATTATTTATACACATTTTAATGCTTAAATTATTACATTGATAATTTAATTCTTAATTTTATTTCTAACCGGCACTACTGGTCCTCCATACCATAGTGTTTGTTTGTTTGTTTGTTTGTTTGTTTGTTTGTTAGACTTTATTAATCCCAACGGGAAATTCACATGTCACCGCAGAGCTCTCCATGCTAAAAATAGATCAAATAAGTTACACATGTATAAAAACATTAATAAAATTACGTAAATACTGCACACCTTAGTTTCAGACAATGAGTAAACACTTGTTTATATCTAATAACTATTACAATTCAGCGTAATTCATGATTTTGGTTATACAATCTAATCTCTGTTGGTAAAAATGACTTCCTGTGTCTTTCTCTGTAACACCGGGGTTGAATTAATCTTGCACTAAAAGAGCTTGCACACACTTGGACTGTATAAAAAGGGGATGGTTATCGTGGTTCATCATACCACTTGGTGGTTTATTCATATCGTGGTTCATTGACCCA